ATGATGTAGCCCTTAATTTGAATTTAGCAGACATTTTAAATATAGGTTTCTCTTACAGAGACAAAAGTTACAATTTAAAGCTCTTTGGTGGTCTAAAAACAGCTTAATTCTGTAGTCGCCTGGTAATAAGTACTAATCCAGCTTATACAGTGATTGTAGTATGTCATGTTTGTGAAAGATTGCCCAACTGCTTTCTCTGGGTTTTATGTTAATTTAAAAATATTAAACATAAAACCTTATAGCATCTTCATGCTGAGATAAACTGTTCAATTTAACTTGTGCTCCAGCAGCAGCTGTCAGGAATTATCCTGTTCCTAGTGGGGTTTGCTATCACCTTGTGGCCTCTCCTGCCAGAGACACGCCGTGGGGATGTAAAGATCACCTTGTTAGGATTTATTGCTTAAATAACACCTGAGGCAGAGTGAACATTGGAAATGTAGAGATTACATGCTGATGGAGTGGCGTCTTTCTGTGTATCATTATAATCTTTTTAGATCGAGGGTAGGGCCACAATAAAGAGTCTGAGTCACCTGCATTCCTTGTGTGGTCATATGCATCACTTCTTTTTGGGGGGATGTTGAACTAAATGTCTGAGTTGTTGTTTATTGCTCATCTAACCACCATTTTAAAAATGAAACGCGAAGAGAAATGCTTTCCCGAAGATGGGTGTGGTCCTCACAAATCAGGGTAGTGGGGGCTATTCCAACGCTGGCTGGGAACTGCAGCCGGCTTCTTTTCACTGGTTGAACAAACGGAGCAAAGTGTTGTCGGCAGTACCAAATGGTTAATATCATGAAAGTCCTCCTCGCCGGTTGACTCCTGAATGAATCTGTATAGAGAGATATAGATATATTCTTTTATTATTTGTATTCCTGGAAATACATATCTTTTTCCATTAACACTTTTTGTTGTGAATTGGGTGAAGGTTTACAGAGCAAATCAGTTTTCTACTCAATAATTCAAACTTTTTGTTGTTATTAAAATGAACCGTATTTTTCTGACGGAATCTTATATTTCCAACTTGATATAAATTTCTTTTTTTATTTTCATTTTTAAATGGACATATCCCTCACTTACCATACAGCTCCACAGTTCAGTCATACTATAAAGTGTTGTGCAACCATCCCCACAATCGATTTTAGAACATTTTCTTTTTGCCTCGGATTCATTGTTGTTAGTCCCCATTTCCCCCTAACGTCCCCTGCCATGGCCCTAGGCAATTATTAATCCAGTTACTGACTCCATGGAAGGCTTAACATTCGGTTTGGATTCTGTAGTTACAAATGAGCTGATAGGTCTTGAGAGAGAAAGAGACAGAGGGAGAGAGAATGTAGTAGGGATAGCGTGAAGGGCTCACCCTGGTCAAGCATTTTTTATTATTTTTTATATAGATGGCCTTACCTCATGTAGGGAATGAACGGTTGAATCACAAGTAGAAAGACATACGTGGGGGTTCTTTTGTGTATGGAAGGAGCCCTGCTAGAGTTGTTGGGTACATGGTGGGTGCTAACCCCAAGCTCTGTGGAGAAAGAAGAAGCTAGCTGCTTCCATGAAGATTCACCCCCTCAGAGACCCGATCTTTGAGGCAGAAATGACTCGAGTTGCGGTGGTTAGCGCTGGTTATGACGTGTAGCATTTTTTCAACTAATGCGCTTCATGCTTAGTCTTCACATGTGTAGTGTTATAAATGCATAGTTCATTTCAAAACAGCAAAAGTAGCTAAATGAATTGCTATATACCATTCACTTAGATTTAATGTTCACTTTTAGGGTTGTTTTTCTTAAATACAAGTAACTTTTATGAGGGAAAGGGAAGGTTCGGGTATTACAGTCTCAAAGTCCACACCATCCCTCGAAAGTGTGCAAGGCCACCTGGCGGGTGCTGTGGGAAAGTTCATCACCACTCCAGGCACTTCATTGGAGTGTGGAAAAACAAGGAAAGGAGTACCAGAATGGGACCGTCAAACCAGTGTGTGGGGTCAAGTGTGTTGGGACCAAGTAGGAAATCCCAAGAGAGTGAGCGACTGCCAGCAGACGGACAGGCCTGCACACATGGGAGGAACCTCACTCTCCAACCTGCAAGAGTGCACCCAAACAAGAGAGGCGGCCTGCCCGCAGCCTGCTTTTATCCCCTGCTATCCCCACTGGCTGGGGAGGTGTGGTGGAGGATATTGGCCGATCTTGTTGGCTGAGTTTAAGCTCACTTGTGTGATGTCATGTGCCTCGTGTTGTGTTTGGGCCCAGGTTGGATTTTCCCATAGGTTTCTAATTAGTGTGCCTGCTTTCTTTGCAACCCCTTTATTGTGGCCTGGCCAGCTAATTTTCGTTTAGCATTTCGTAGACATTTGGTAGAGACAACCTCCCTTTATCCCTAATCCAGGACCCAAATCATTGGGAGATTTAATGTTTTAATGTAACATTCTAGAGTTAATGTGTTGCACCTCTGCTGTTTCTCTGATATACACTAGCTACATTTGAACACCTATTATTATTAGAAATATTTAGATGGAACCATGTATGGGTTAACTTGCACACATCATGACGCTTCATACTCAAATAATTTAGCCTGCATCTCATCAGAATAGTAAGAATATTTCCTGATAAACCACCATTACAAATATTATACTAAAGAAGTTTAAGATTGATTAAATTTATATTCTTGTATTCAGCTCATAGTCATATTTTCTCTTATCTTAATAATGTCCTCTCTAGCATTGCTTTTTTAATCCAGTAACCAACCAAGTGGGAAGCATTGCATTTATTGTCACATCTTTTTATTTTCTTTCCATGTACATTTTTTCTTTTATAGCACTGGCACATTTGAAGACCCAGTCTAGTCATTTTGCAGAATATATTTTCAATTACCTCCTTAAGAAAAAACTCGGGTTAGGCATTTTGGTTAAGAATGCTGTCATTGGTAATGGTGCATTTTTCTCAGTGCATCACACATAGAAGTATATATCTCCTCATTCCATTGTTGGTTATGTAAAATTTGATTACTTAGTTATGGTGGTGTCCACCAGCTCTATTATAATGGTGTTTTCTTCTTGGTAATTTCATATGTACTACGGGGGCTTAAGGAATTTTCGCTGTGTGGGAGATATTGAGCTTGCTGGGGTCTTACTGATAATGGATGTGAAGTCGATGCAGTAGTTAGTGAGTGGGGAGGAGGGATAGATGGGAGAGGAGGTATTGTTCATTCACTAGACTTATGAGTTGATGTACACTTTCTTTGAAGAGAAATACTGATTGAGATGAACACTTTGCTGTTCTCTCTGCTGAGTATTAGATTTGTAGATATGCAGATATCTTCCTATTTCAAAATTTTTCATCTAACTTTATAAATGATTCTGTTTGGTCATGGAGATAAGGAGGGGCTGGAGTTATCTTTGAATAAAAACACATTATTTGGCTATAATTTCTTTTCTGTTTCCTCTAGTTCAGTGCAAATTAGGTAATTAAAAAAATAAATGCACTTTTTTGCAAGGGTATTTTTAGTTTACGCATATATATAACTATCACACAGCCTTATGGATTGAAAGAGAGATCACCGACTTTGGATCATAATGTGCCTCTTCTAGCCCATGAAGAAGACACTTGAATTCCTATTTATGATGTATGTACTTATTATGAAATCCTTCTTCTTATGTGAAAGGCTAGTGCTGCAGATCATATAAACACCTGAAGCTAACCATTTGGCTTGTCAGCAAGGGAGGATTTATAATGGTTGTAATCATGGCAATAACAAGGATGGTCTTCTGTATTTATTAAGTGCAGTAAAACACATTTGCAATGTAAGTGGTCCAACACCAATTCATATGTGTATTGAAAAACTCTCCAAGCTGAGGAGACCAGGGAGGCCTTGCTCTGTCACTTTCTACAAGTGTGATTGTAGCGGAGAGGTGGGGGGGACTCTTAACCTTCTTGAACCTCATTTTTTAGAATTGGAATTAAAGCCATAAGGGTCAAAAGATGGTACATTATGTTATAAAGGTGACATTTCATCAAAAGCATGCCATCTGAACGTCCTCAGCTGCACAGGGACTGCAATTTGTCCCTCTTTTGTGTCCATATATGGTAGGCATCTCACCAGTGAAACATTTCCTGCTTGTTCCCAGCAGTTATTGCTCCCTTCTGTTTATTCCTCTAAGATTGTACCCCTCTCACCATTACAAGCAGCATGCAGCCTCGTGTGCTATCAGTCCTTCTGGGTTGAACTTGGTCCATAGTAGGCATTTAACAAATGCTTGAATGAGAGTGGAAATAGACACTTAGCTCTCATTTATAAACCTGGGTAGGTAAGCTTCCTGTTCCCCTTTATTCTCCCAACCAGAGAATTAGCCTTTCATCAGTTTTTAGACTAGTGTTTTAAATAAGGGATTTTGTAGATTGTGCGTCTGGTGCTATTAGCAAACCAGGAATGGTGAAGAAAAGATAAAACAAGTATTGCAGGATTATTTTTTAAAAAGTGGGGGGGGGGGGCTGCGGCAGCGGAGATACAGTGTGACAAAACATGCCAAGAAAAAAAGACCACACTAGATAAGTGTAGTGCACAAATCAAAAGGGTTTGTGTCATAACACGAACATGTGCCATTGTGGCTCATATATTGAATTTCAGGAATTGGTTGCATAAAGAAATAAAGTGTAATGAAACTGGCAAGCAAAGTATTCCCCAGTCAGTCTTATCTTTGTTCCATTTGTCCTTCAGATAGAGCTTTTTTAGCCTTTTTCAATAAAATCTATCCAGTTTTTTTTGCCTTCATCTCTCAGTAACTGAGCTAAGAAGACCAATGAGATTCTGGGCTTTTATAGTTCTTAGCAGCTGCTTTTTAAGAGATCAAAACTTAGAATGCTTCTACGTGGTATTAGGCTTAACTCTTGATGTGTCCCTGTAGGGGATATGTTTTCCTTGGGATGAGATGAGGAGAGAGGAGAGAAGGGCAAAGGATGACCCCTTGGAGCATGCTCAGGACAGTAATCCCCAATTTCCTTGTTTTCTAGGATCCTCTTTACAAGCTCAGTGCTTAACCTGGCTGAACTGGCTGCCCTTCGGCCTGACCTTGGGAAATTGAAAAAGATTCTCTACTTCCACGAGAACCAATTGGTGTATCCTGTCAAGAAATGTCAGGAGAGGGATTTTCAATATGGATACAACCAAATTCTTTCATGGTAGGTATAGAGTGCATCGCTATATTTCATCTACTGCCACTGTTTTGTTTGTTTTTTTCCGGGATTTTTAACTTTTTAGTTTAGAGACCTTTCGTTTACCTATTTAAAAATAAATAGAAACAACATTTAATGTACCTATTTAAAAATAAGGAAAGAAACAACATTTCTAAGGTAGGTATGGATATATAAACATAATTCCATGATGGTCATTTCTTGTGTTTCTTGATTATATATAAGACCATAGCAAATCCATTTAAAAATTACTTACCGTATATACTCGAGTACAAGCCAATCCCAGTATAGCCAAGGCACCAAATTTTACCACAAAAACTGCATAAAAAATGTGCTGAAAAACTCTGCTTATACACAAGTATATACAGTGTATATATAACAATTTAGTTATATATTGAAATAATTATTCAACTGTATTTTTCCACAACATTCAGAATTATCATCAGTGGACTGTCAGGTTCTTTCCCCTCTGGTCTTCATGATCTGTTGTTGAAATTGTATTTAGTCAGCTCCGATTTCCCTATCATGCTCACTGTATTCAGCTAATATCCAAATAGTAATTTACAGAATAATTCAAAAAAAAGAAAAGAAGAGAAAGAAAGCATCATGAACAAAGGGTATTTTATCCACTTAAAAGAATTGTGTTGTTGTTTCTTAGAGAGACAGCCTGTGAATGTAGACTCCATGTTGTGGTCATTGTCTGCTCATTGAGTCTTTTGAAACTGGATAGCCTTAAGCTACCCTGACATTTCAAAGGTGATTATCCTGGTTTGTTCATTCTTACTGCAACAAGTAGATTTCCTCAAGTTTAGTTAGTGAAAATAGTTGATAGCAACTCCACGAAATGGCTTTGCTATTGGATCATATTCAATGTAGCCACGACCAGATTTGATGGCTTTCAGCATGGCATTGATTTGGCCCCTTTGATTCACCTTTATTAGCAGTTATTATTTAAACAGATCCACGCCTCTTGCAAGTGTGTTTCATAGTTGTGTTGACATAGGAAAACAGCTATGCATTATTTTTTCTGCGGTTTGAGCATTTTGTAAATGTTTTCCTGCAATCATTTTTACAAGATGCCTCAATTTTGAAGTAGCAGTGCTATCAACACAGAATGAAACTGAAACTGCTTCACTTCAAATGTCTCATAAAGAAGCAACCGTCTTAAAATTTCACAATAAAATTAGAATCTTTTATATTGAAACAGAGGATGGAAATATATTTTAAGAACAAAAATAAAATCATTTTGGGTTGTATCAATATGGAAAACATTTGTAATTGTCTTTTGATTTCTTGAATTAACATCCTTCTTCCCCTCAGATAATGTGTGCTTATTACTCCTGAGAAATCGCTGGGGAAAAAAATTAAGTAGATTTTTCCCTTTATGAGTGGTTTTTAAAGCTAATGGAACTTACACCCACTCATATCAGGGAAGAGATGCACCAAAAAGAATATTTCTGTAAACTATCTTGGATCTTTAATTTAGCACAGACTGGGTTTTATAAGAATATAAATAATCGAGTACATGCCTTTGGAGGGCAGCTATCTAAACATTTTTAGCTTCCTGCCCTCATCTCTCTCTTTCATAAAAGATTATTTTTGTTTATAAGAGGACTATAAAAGCTTCCACGTGATTTCTCAACATTGACGTTTTGAGAGAGTAAAGTGATAGACAAGCTTGGAGAGAAAGAAGGGGCTTCCTCATCTGCTGGCTTCGTAATGGGAAAAATGGTTCACAGTTGGCTCGAGGAAAAATAAGAGTGTCACATACAGTCTTGCTTCCTCAAATGTTTCTTTAGTTTTCTTGCTGACTTCTGCTTTTGTTGGCATTGTCAGATTTTTTTTCTTGACTCTGTGGCAGTTAAGGACTTTAAAGATGACTGACATAAGCACTCACCTTAAATAGAGGTTTCACTGACCACCCTGACTTATGAACACATGTCGTAACTTTATATTATGACCTGTGGGTCGCTATTACAATATGTGACATATGGTGAAAACAGACTAGCTATAAAACATCCTTCAACCTTTTCTGTATTATTATATTGGTTTTCTTACAGCTTGATGTTAACTCGGCACTTTCATGACATTCTGTATTCTTTTGTATTACCCACATTGTAATCACTGCCACCTCCCAAATTTATACCATGTTGAATCTGAAAGAGAGAAGACAACGCCTATACCACAGATAAGCAATTTGGTGTTGGTGCTGGTGGGGATGGGCATCTCGGCTTCGCGGTCCAGTGAACTTGCACGTCCTCTTCTCAGCTTTCTTGATCTTTCATTTTAGGGTAAAATAAAACTAATGACTCTTTATTTAATTGTGAATACCTTCTTATCAAAGCATTCATAAATATCACACTGAGATCCATTGACACTGAGTTGATCATTGCGTAAAGCAAGAGGATCATCTTTAGAAAGTCAAAGAAGTTATTTAGCAAATCAGATTTTCTATTTATAGAGGTCACAGTACATACTTAGGTTTTATTCAGTTTACTTATATGATTACTATGGTATTAGAGTCTCTTTAAAAAAATACAGGCCACTCTGAAAATTGCTGGCGTGGTTATGACACACAGACGTTTTTCTTACTGCCTTATAAAAATACATTCGGGCTTATTTATAATAAAAATATTATAGAAATGCACAGCTTATTGGTCTAAAGCAATAGGCATTACCATATTTATTTGTATGTGATATCGTGGATCTTTGTAAAACTCAGTTCATTTGGGGGGAGGTGGTAGGCTTAATGATTTTGATTTCTGCGTCCATTTCCACTAATTTTGCCTCTCTGGCTACTCTGTATGAAATAGTGAATTAAGTTATTTATAGAGCTACCACATAATTTTCCCTGTTTTGATCCAGAGTTTTTAAAAACTTAAGATAGTTTGTTGAAGCAAGAGCCAGAACAAGAATTTGACTTTTACTAAATAGTGTTGAAGGTGTTATGCTCTAGGATGGAAATGCTATTATCTGAATGAATCTTTTAGCAGGTAGTGAGAAGGAAAGGCACCTTTCTCAGTAGTATGTTGCACAAGGGTGTTCACCATTGATAATAGAAAACCATCATGGATAAACGTGCCACACACACATACGTATACCAGGTATATGTATGTACTTGTTGTTTTAATAGAGAGAGTATTGGGCTTCATAGAAAATTATGCTTTGGTTTGAAATCTTAAGTGATTCTATTAAATAATTTAATTCTTCTACTATCTTCCCTTTTTACTGATGCCTGCCTGTCTTTCAATGACATAATACTAATGAAAAATACTAACCATTAGAAATATTTTGACAGATAATAATGGCAAATGCCGACTTCTTGGCAAACCCCAGGTGCAATACGAACTCTGATTAATACAGAGGTCTTTAAAAAAGAAAAAAGAATAAAAAATCAACCCTCACCGCCATTGAGTCAATTCTGAATAGCAAGCTGAATGTTGTAGAAATAATTCTGAATGAATTGGATCACTTGGATTTATCTTTTCTCTTTCCAGCCTGGTGGCAGATGTGGTGGTATTCAACTCAGTTTTTAATATGGAGTCGTTTCTCACTTCCATTGGGAAATTTATGAAGCTGATGCCTGATCACAGACCCAAGAATCTGGAAAGCATCATCCGACCCAAGTGCCAAGTTATTTACTTTCCCATCAGATTTCCTGATGTGAGAAGGTCAGTGTGATTGACTCTTTTCTCAATATTGTCATCAGCTACTCTTCAGAGGTACAGCAAAGGTATAGGCACCAGTATTACAGCTGACAATCTTTTACTTTCCAGAATTATCCTGGTCAAATAGCTAATCAAGTTCTATCTCATCATGTTGTGATTTACAAAATTTTAAAATGATCTCCAACCTATGTCCAACCTTTCACATAAAAGCACCAGAATTGAGTTTTTCTTGTCTCTTACCTGTTTGCCAAAGCAAGGTTCCAAAGCACTTCCTATTGTGTTTCTCCGTTTTGGGGGTTACAGATGTCATTGTCAAGCTGTACTCAGCATTTGCCCATTGGGTTTATATGTGCCATCCCAAGAAAATGGATGTTAAATCTCACTGCTTGGATTTATTCTCCTCTTCCATGCTATTTTCTCCTTCCTCTGATTTTTTAAAATCATTTTATTAGGGGCTCATACAACTCTTATCACAATCCATACACATATCAATTGTGTAAAGCGCATTTGTACATTCATTGCCCTCATCATTCTCAAAACATTTCCTCTCCACTTAAGCCCTCAGCATTAGGTCCTCATTTTCCCCTCCCTCCCCGCTTCTCCCTCCCACATGAGTCCTTGATAATTCATAAATTATTATTTTGTCATATCTTGCCCTGTCCGACGTCTCCCTTCACCCACCTTTCTTCTGTCCATCCCCCAGGGAGGAGGTCACATATTGTTCCTTGGAATCTGTTCCCTCCTTCCAACCCACTCTCCCTCTGCCCTTCCAGCATCACTACTCACACCACTGGTCCTGTATGGATCATCCGCCCTGAATTCCCTGTATTTCCAGCTCCTATCTGTACCAGTGTACATCCTCTGGTCTAGCCAGACCTGCAAGGTCGAATTCATATCATGATAGTGGGGGAGGAGGAAACATTTAGGAACTAGAGGAAAGTTGTATTTTCCATCGTTGCTACATCGCCCCCTGACTGGCTCGTCTCCTCCCTGATACCCCTCCCTTCCTCTGATTTTTATTACTTATAGTATCTTAATAAAGAGTTGTCTTCTATATTAAGTTGCAAATGCACTCAATAATTACCATACCTCTTTTTCAGTTACTAAGAAGACATTTTTTATTATCCTTGTTACTGGGCCTCTGAATTATCAATAGATGATGTGGCTCAAAGGGAACATTCTGGAATTACTTTTCACTTTTGATTAAACCTAGCAAAATTCTTCTTTACTATCACAAGGAACACTTCTCCCTGGTGAATAGAAAATTTACTTCAGTGGGACTTTCACTAACTGGAGATGCTGGTATTTTGTAACTGCCGTTCTGCTTAAAAAGGGTTCAGAGATAGCTCTTTCCCCCGCATCCCTGCAATGGAGGCAGGAAACAGTTTTATGTCCTTACATGTAAGGGTAGCTTTAGCTCTCTGTTGTGTGCTTACTGACATCATCCAGGCTTTGCTGTAGGGGTAGTGGTCCTTCTCAACACCCCTGCTGCTTTTCTCTTGGAGTGTCTCACTGAATAGAAAGTCACTGAAGAACGTTCCGCCTCATATCAAGTCCAGTTAATGAGTCGTATGTTTTAAGTCACACCACCTTGCCCAGTTGGTGTGCTTATGGAGTTCAGAAGACAGAGACCCATAGAAGTAAAGACATGGCTTGTGATCACACTGCCTATCGTTCTCATAAACTGGATTAAAGTTTAGGCCCTCTGACTTCTGATTCCATTTTCTGTTTGTTGCTCAAGCTTCCACTCATTATAGGTCATTTGTCAAAAGCATTTAATGATTGATAATAGAGTTTTGAAAATCATAGAGTTAAGTAGAACTATGTATGTATCTAATTTTTTTTAAATGTGTGCTGAGAGGATTCGATTGTAAATCACTAAATGTTATATTTTAGATCTTGTATTAGCTAGAACACAATTATGTACATGATGATTTTTAAGAAAATTAATCTTATTTTTCACATGATTTTTTTCATATAACGCATAGACAAAAATGTACATTTTTAAGTGAGTAAATGACCGCAGCACATCTTAATTATTACTGCTATAGACTTCCAAATAAACTATGTGTTTTTAAATTTATTCTTATCTGATATGTTTCTACATAATCATATTTTTAATATACCTGTGGCAATTGAATGGTTTATTAATTTGGACTCTATTGCCATAAAGAAATCTAGCTAAATGGAGGAAGGTTAAGAAATATTGTGGCCAAGATAACATTCATAAGCAAGGTCTTAGCCCAGAGTGTTATTTGAATTATTTGCAAATGGTAATTTGCTTTGTCCCACCCGAATTCATATAGTATAAGCAAGTGATTATTTGCATGAATGACAATCATTCTAATGCCTGCAGTCTTGAAAAAAGTATTATTTTGTTGAGATGTTTAAAAATATTTAGCAATTACAAAAGCAAAATAACTAAGGTGATTTAAAAACACACACTTTGAATACTTCTATCTTTCTCTCCTTACAAATAGTATTCGGTCATGGCAAAAATAAATTTAAGGAAAAATGAAGCCGGACATATGCTTAAAATTTTAATATGTACTATTCATAACATACAGTGTGATATGAATATTAGCCCTAGAAGAGAAATCCACATTTCAATGAATGTGTGAGAATTTATAGAGCTGGTTACTATCTGTTACTATCAGAACAGGTCTGTTGCCCTGCAATTCATCATTTCTTAAAAAGATGAAAAATAGTGGATTTGTGGCACCTTCTGCTCCCAACGGCCCTCTTTCTGTCTCCCCTACCGGATTCACAAACCAGACACATAGTGCCAGTGGAGATGGTCACTACTGTCTGAAACATTTTGAGATGTCATGGTGGTACGCTCTATCATAGAACGATATCACCGAAAACTCTTAAACCCAGAAGGCACACTGACATACATTTTAGTCTTGACCACTGCTTACTCGTGCTGTGGCCAAAGTGTAAAAACTCTGCAAACTAGTTCTTTAATGATTTTAGTTGTATTTACCTTATTACCATTTTAAGGGATTTTTCCCATAAAAGAAATAGGGATGATACAGTGGTTAAATAAGATAGCTGGGATATAATATTGTTGTTAGGTATAGTCAAGTTGGTTCCAACTCACTCCGAAACCATGTACAGTCAGATACCACACTGCCCAGGCCAGCACCCTTCTCACAGTCATTCCTGTGTCTGGACCTACTTCTGTAGCCATGAGTCAGTTTATGTCATTGAAATTTTTCCAACATTTTTTCTGACCCACTACCAAGCACGAGGCCCTTCTCAGGGACTGGTCCCTCCCAATGACATGTTCGAAATACATGAGATGGAGTCTTGCCATATTTGATTATAAGGAATATTCCGATAGTTCTTCTGGCTACACAGATTTGTTCATTCCCTTGGTAGTCCATGTTCTAGTTCATATTTTTACCAGCACCATAATTCAAATGCATCAATAACTCCCCAGTCGTCTGTATTCATTGTCTAGCTTTTGCATCTATGAGACTATTGAATATGCCATGGCTTGGATCAGAAGCACTTTAGGCTTTGTGATAGTTATGGTTTATTGTGCCAACCTGGCCAATAAACACATGTGGGATTAATTGAAGGGTGGAGAGATAAATGGCTCTGTGAGCCTCGCCTTTCTAGTTCTCGGGTCTCTTGCTTTCTGATGGTTGGACCAGGGTGCAGTTGCCTTAGCCAGTTCCCTGCTTCAGCTGTCAAGGCTCACTTCCTGCAAGACATTCCTGAGGAGAAGCCACATGGACCTACCCCTATGCAGCCCTGGGTGCTGGAGCAGCCATGTGGAGACCCCTGCCAGCGCTGAGATGCTTACACGCTCACCGATTCAGCTTTCCTCCTGCCGTCGGCATAATTGAGTATGTTTTGTGAGTTTGAGGAGGACTTTGTAGATTGATGTCGAACATATGGGCTAATGCAGGGCTTATAGGTTTGGACTGGACGGATTGGGATGCTTTCTTAATGTACACTTACCTTTTATAGAAAACTCTCTCTTATATCCATAGAAATTTCTGTGGATTTATTTCTGTAGTCTACCCAAACTAACTCAGGCGTCAAAGTCAAATTTCTGCAACAGATTTGCCCAATGCAATTCATAGGCCACCTAACTTCCAGACTGGTGCTTCCATGGGCATTGATCTTGGATCCAAATAAAATGAAGTCCTTGAGAACTTCCTTTTTTTATGTATCAAGGAAGGCACCGCTGCTTGTTCCATCTGTGAGGAGTTTTGTGTTCTTTTTGTGGTAGTGGAATCCATACTTTGTCAGTGCGTGCTTCAGGCCTTGTTCACTTTGAGCAAGTAAGGGTGTGTCACCTGCAGACCAAACATTGTTAATGAGCTTCCTCCTGTGCGCTTGCTGGATTCTTCACCTGATTTCACTTGTCCTATTATTTGCTCAGTGAGCAGACTGAATAAATAAGGTGAAAGGAGCAACCCTGTTGTGCACCTTTCCTGATTTTAAACCACAGTCTGTCACCTTGTTCTCTTGGAATGGATGCCTCTGGGTCTATGTACAGGCTTTGCATGAGGACAATTTGTGGTGTTATTCATAATTTATTTTCAACTGCACTGTTGCATGTCTTTGCATAGTCAATGAAACACAGGTAAATGCCTTTCCTATATTGTCTGTCTTCAGCCCAGATTTCCAGTAAACCAGAAGTTATATTCCTCGTGCCAAATCCCCTTCCTGTGTATCAGACAGTTCCCGACGATGTACTTGCATGTGATATTAATGACTCTCTTTAATAATTCGCTACTAGCCATACTTTTCAAACACACTCTCAATTTATGACTCCTAAATTCTGGGAGGCCCTTTGAGCTGCTGGACCAGCATATCACATTTGCCTTTGTCTACAGAATTAATCATGCTCTTTCCAGTATTTCATAATATCCACTATCAAGGTTTTCATTTTCATTCTAGCTAGTGGTTGAGAAAACTGGAAGAATCAGAAGAGAACACTGACAAGCTGCCACTGTCACTTTTCCTCAGGCACCGCATCCCCA